CCCTCTCCCCTCTCCCCTCCCCTCTCTGTCGTGTGAGAGGCACTTCTGCGGGGAGATCCGAGATGGCATCTTGGCCCGCCCCCCCCATAAAGTAGTCTGCAAGGTCATCCTCGGCCTCTTGAGTTGCCGCTGCTGCGAGGTTGCTGCGCATAGGAGTCACTGCTGCTTCCCTGCGACTGGGGCTGTGTTGCTTGTGGTTTTGTCTGCATGCTGGGTGCCGGGTCAGTGCTGGAGCTCGGGATGTCTTCAGGTTTCGCACTCAGGCCTGGGAGTGACCCAATGTGTTCTTGCAGGTCAGCAGGTAGGCCATCTCCCGAGGGGTGGTTGGGTTGTAGTGTGTTGGTGGGGATGCTGGAGCTGATGGTCCAAGTCTCAAGCCTCTGGCGCCCGCCTTTCTGCGAGCATTTAGGGAGGTGTGAAAGCTCGGATGGCTTGTTTGCTGGATATTGCATTCCTAGAGTTCAACATATGTCATCCAGCCACCCCCTTTTACATTGAAACATGCAGTTAACCGACACGGTAAATCGGGCCAGAAGCGACGGGATATGAACAAACACATAAGTAGTTGCATGTAGTTTATTCCCGATATACTCATGTCACCTCGTCACGAACTGCAAAGCCGAGTCATCACAGCTGTGAGCTTCAAGTGCACCAAGCCCTAAGCTCTTGTAGTAGCAGTAGCCGTTGAGCTAGAGAGGCTCTTTACCAGGCAAGAGGCACAGGGAGCGTCCAGCCCTGTACCTCGCGCGCGAACACGCACCTGCAGTTCGTGACAGGTTTTGGTTTCCACGGGGGGCTTCGCCCCCGGTCGCTCGGCTTGACAGGGACTCGCCGAAGCGAAAAGAGGGAAGGCCTGCAGTTTGCCCCAAACAAACAACTCAAGTCAGCAAGCATCTCTCTCTCTCTCTCTCCCTCCCTCGGCTGTTCCTCCATGCATCCTTTGGAATCATCTTGTAGGACACGCACTTTCCCTGGGAGACCTGATCTGATGAGAGAGACGAATCCGACGGCAGCAATCACAAGCTTAATTCCAGCCGCCTGCAGCCGAGCAACTAAGAGAAGTAGGGAGACAAGAATAAAGTTTGAAGAAGTCGTTGCCAGCAGCGAAAATGCATGCATCATCGGGCTGCCGCACCCATTGCTTGCAAACAGCCTTGGCTGAGCATCTTAGTCCTCACACTTCTGAAAACAAGACCAGCTTCTGAGCATCAGCAAAGATCAGCCTTCAGGCACGGGCATTAAATGAAGAACTTCGAAAAAACAAGCCTTTGCACAAAACGAGATGCTTTGTCGGTGGTTGGTAGCCACAGTAGCCAACAAAAAACTTGCCACGACCGTTCCCAAGGCCCTGGCCACCAGCTCCACACATATCCCACTCAAGAGAATGCGAGCGAAAGGGTGCGCGGCCTTGCATGGCAGCTTTGTGGCACGCAGCGCGGCTCAGAGCTCAGAGCCCCTGCCTTGCTCCTGGCACTATCGTCATGTTGTCGAGATGCCAGGATCACGTTCGCGCGTGTTTGCACCATCATGAAAGCCGCAAAAACAACCTGGCCGGCACACGCTGAATTACCTGAACCTAGGCACGCAAAACGCTTCGCAAAGCTGAATTAAACGCGCCAGCAGCACGCAAAAGGCCACGAATGCATGCAATGCATAACGCCTACTGTCAACGGATTTCCCCTCTCAAACTGGCATCGTGCAACTCCCTCAGCCTGTCGGTGGAGAACTCAGATGCCCAGCCGTACAAGATGTTTTGGGCGTGTACCTCCGAGGTTAGCCACGGCTTCGGCTTGCAGCATACTCGGCCAAAATGCACACGCCTCGTACTGCACATTCCTCAACCCTTGTCCCGAGCAATCTGCAAGGGCCACGAACCACCTCAGGAGAGCTACACTCCTTCGACTGTGCAATTGCGGCTCGAAGCTTGGGACAACGGCCAACGAGGGCGGATCTTTTCCCTCACAAGTGTCTTTATCCTGAAGATAGTTTCGTTAAATCTGCAGCATTTGTTGATCTGGTCGTCGGCTTGTTGCTACAGCACAGGACGCGTCCTCAGATGTCCTCCCGGGATTAGCCAGCTGTTTTTCGCTCTTTTTCGCCGCTCGGCGCAGGTCAGGAAGTTCCAATCACCTCTTCATTGTTGCGCAGTTCACAGGCAAAAGTGAACATGGGGGTCAGCCTGCCTGAAGGACCCGGATATGATTCAGCCTGCGCCGCTCGCAAACATGTTTTACATTTTACAGAATAGACATGCACCGTGACACGACAACATACAACACGCAGCCGAGATGCCTCGTCATCTAGCAATAAGAGGTAGACTTCCTCGCATCGGGCTGTCAAAACTCCCAGAGCCCAATATCCCGGCAGAGCCGAAGACTTTGGCCTGCGTGGTCGAGCTCTGGCAAGGCGACGGTACACACTCCGATAGTTTTGAAGCAAAAGCGGGGTAGTCGTCAACTTTAGGATTTGAGAATGCTGGCTAGGCACGGGGTTGAGGCTGAAATAGCTCTTGGGATCTCACATGGACATCTGGTGACTCCAACTAAGGACGACATGGTGCTGCTGACGTTGGTCCACGGGAGTTTCGTTCACCAGATCAGAATCTGGTGTGGGCAAAGAACCGTCTCTACGACCGGTTTCGCTCCCAAGTCTTTCAGCTTCCAGTCAGGCTACGAACAAAAATGCAGTCATAGCAGAGAAAGTTGCCCCGAGGCGTCAATGCCAGGTGCAACCAAGCCAATCACCTCATTATGACGTACTGCTGCACTGTTTGTAGCGGTTGGGGAGACTTGAAGGAAGGATAGTACGAACGGATCTGGGCAAAGCTCTTCCTGTTTGGAAAGTCTCTGAGATTGTCAACGAGCAGATGGTAACAATGAAATGGGCAAGGTTTGGAGTCATGGCCCTCAGGCTGAAGCCCTCAGCGATTGACCTATATGGCTGCGTGCATGAATCAGCTCCTGGTCATCATCAATCACCGGGAGCTTCACATGAGCCTGAGCAAGTTCTCTGCGCAGGAAATGTCATCAAAGTTGCGGCAATGTGCCTCGAGCATCGCAGCTTCACGGTGAGCAAAGTGAGCTGAATGGGAAGCATTATCGGCAACCGGCCTGTCACACATTTCGTTTGCAAGCATTCTCAGCTCTTAACCAAGTGTATACAACATGCGTAGTGAAAAAGCTGCAACACTTCGCTCCTGGTTCTGCATACCTTACACCAACAGTATTTGCAAGTGGCACATCCGAAGCAAAGGCGACTCGATTCTTTGCGGATGGAGCTCTCGAGTGCCAAAATAACTCGCAGCATCGAAAGGTATGGGGTGTCCGGAATAAACGGCGCGCGAAAGCAGAACGGCAGGTTGCATCTCGCATCTCTTTCGGTTGCACTACGAGGTTTTGAAGTCTGGCGCCATCCGAGTTCGAAGGGTATGCATAGACCAACAGGAAGAAGTAATTTATGGTTGAACCTACATGTGGCCGCAGCAAAAGCACCTCTTGACCTTCTGCAAGAAGCGTTCACAGGTCGGTTCGCCGTGCGAGCGCAAGAAAAGCAAGGCTCAGCCACTCCACCCATTTTTTGCTGCCGCCCGGCGCAGCACTTCGGCTTTCTCGCTCTGCTTCGGGGAAAGGGGTACTGGGCTCGGGTGCAGCCGGTCGCGACCCTGTTGTTTACGAGGTCGCACCCGCCCTTGCCTCGCAAAAAATCGAGGTCGCATCCCGTCGCAGCCACCTTGGCCTTCGAAGGCCGCATGAGGCTTATGCCCGGTCGCACCCATCCCTGTTCGAAGTCCGGAATGCACCCGTACGCCTTGCATAACAAATCCGGGTGCGACCTTGTACAAAACGAGGTCGCGCACGGTCACGCCGATCATTTGTGACGGAACGCGTGCGCGGGGGCGACCATGTCGCCTTTGAATGCAAGGGTGCGTGGGACCGGGTGCGATCTCGTAAACAACGACGTCGCACTTGGTCGCAGCCACATACATGATGCGTGCGACCGGGTACGACCTCGTAAAGAGCGACCTCGTAAAGAACGAGGTCACCCGGTCGCACCCACCCTTGCCTTCGAAGGCGACATGGTCGCACCTACGTACGCCTTCCATAACAAATGATGGCTGCGATCGTGTGCGACCTCGTAAAACCACAGGTCGCACCCGGTCGCACCCATCCTTCCTCGAGGTTCGGCATGCACCGGCTGTTGTTGTTGTTGTTGCTGCTGCTGCTGTTATTGTTGCTGTTGTTGTTTTTGTCCTTGTCGTCGTCGTTGGCCTTGTTGTGGTTGTGGTTGTCGTTGTCGTTGGCGTTGTTGTGGTTGTGGTTGTTGTTGCTGTTTGTGTTGTTGTTGTTGTTGTTGCGGTTGCGGTTGTTGTGGTTGTTGTGGTTGTTGTGGTTGTCGTACTTGTCGTTGTGGTTGTGGTTGTGGTTGTGGTTGTGGTTCTGGTTCTGGTGCTGCACTCATCCTCGTGAGAGCTGCGAGGTACCATGGTAGCCCGTCTTCTTCATGCGCCCAGGAGAAGGTAGTTCTTTGGCATAGGTGCATGCGGCAGTTCAGGCATTCAAGGTGCGGTGACAGCATGCATGTTTTCGTGCCGTGCCTCGCAGAAGTGCTCGTCCCTACGGCCCATCGCCCTCGATTGTGAGTGACCAAGTGTGGGACGCCACTAGACTGGCACTCCGGGAGACGGCTTGTGGCGGCTTGCTCCTCCAAGTACGACCCAGCAATCGTGGGTTCGTGAGTATCGGACGCGATGGCTCACACTGAGGGTGTCGGGGGTTGTACCAAGCTTTTCACTCTGTAGACCAGCCAACAATTTTCGTAACAACGGACCTGCAACTCCGTTCTTCGCAGTACGTCATGTAAATTTCTGTTACACAGTTTTTAGCACAGAGTCAGCTCATCCCTGTTTCACAGCAGTGCCAGGTCAGGCAATACGCCCGCCAAGCGCAGAGCACGCTCGCACAGCGTTCAATTGCAAAATTCTGGTTCTGGTTGTCGTCGTCGTCACCGCCGCCATGGTCGTCGTCGTCGCTGCAGTCGTCGTTGTCGTCAGCGTCGTGGTTGTTGTCGTTGCTGTTGGTGTTGTCGTTGTCCTTGTCGTCGCTGTGCATGCATGCGCATGTATATCTCACATACACATATCTTCGGCTCCTCAATCGCTTTCGGGACACCCGGGCTCTAGTTGAAATTGTTTAAAGTATTTCGTTGGTGCCGGGATTTAAATAAATCAATTTCTGGGGAGGGGCCCACGGACCCCGGACCCCTGGACCCTCCCAAGCCCCATCTCCCAGATTTTAACTTTTCAATTTCTATCCAAACCGAGAATTAAATATTCCAATCAAATTGAATCCGGAAGGCTGCTTTAAATCCACCGGACCGGACCCCCCCCCCGCGGGGGTACTATCGCCAGCTGGAACCATGGGTTTTCGCCCCTATAGTATTTAGCGGTCACCGGCAAACTGTTATTTTATCCCATGTGGTGTCTCTGAGTGGTTCCCGGCCCCGATTAAAGTTTGCAGCCGCCTGCCCTGGTTGTAAAATGATTTAAGTTACTTAATTCCCAGCCCCAATCAAATGTATCAAATAAATTAAATCCTGGGAAGGTGGTCCGACGGGATCCGGAGGGTCCGGGGGCCACCCCCACAGGACTTAAATTATACAAACTATTTAATTGGTGCCGGCAATTAAATAATGCAAATAATTTGTATATACATTAAGTGATCTAACCATTTAAATCCTGGGAGGAGGGGTCCGGGGGGGCAAAGCAATGCAAAATGAGAGGGCTACTCCTTGCGCCAAAAAATGGGGGACACTCTTTGCGATTGAAAAGTTGAATGAACATCATCGCCAGGAAAGGATGAAGGGACGAGGGGGGCACTCCTTGCAATTGAAGGTTTTCCAGAGCAACTTCACCCAAAGAGACAACTTGCAAACCCTGGTCTTTACTATTTTGGCTTCAAGTTTTCCTCCAAATAGGCCAATCGCAAGCCTTGGTCCCCAACGTTCTTGGTGTAAGTTCTCCTCCAATGGAGCAGGACTTCAAGCCCAAAATCTTACGGACAAGGGCTTGCGATTTGTCCCTTGAAAGGAGAACTTGGACCAAAATCTTAAGGACCAGGGCTTGCGAAGTGTTTCGTTGAAAAAACCGGACCAGGGCAAGGGGGGTCACCAGGACAGGTATTGGGGACACTCCTTGCGCTTCAAGGTTTTCTAGAGAATCATCGCCAGAAAAGATGAAAGGACACTCGCTGCGATGGAGGCGAGCTGAAAGTCTGTCGAAGCCACTGGAAGGCGAAATGTTCTACCTTTCTGAAGGGCCTAGAAAATCCCCTCATCTTTTCGGGTGTCCCCCTCACCTTGGCTGTTGTTGCTCATTTTTAAGTCTTGATTGGCAAGGTGCTCTTTTTAGCCAAGGGTGTGGCAGTCAACTCTTCTGGTGCCGACCCTGTGGATTCTAATCGCAAGCGCTGAACCCCTCACCTTGTCTGGCATTGTCTGGCGACGTTCGTGTCGATCTTCCCAGCTGCAAGCAGTGCCCTCTCATCTCTTCGGGTGTTGATGCTCTTGAGAGCGTCATCCCCCCATTTCTTCTGGCAACGATCCTCTTGAACCCCTCAATTTTTGATAAAGTCATGTAGAAAACTTTCGGATGTTAAATCCCGTCATTGGTCCCGGACAGACGTCGCAGAGTATTGGTTGAAACGGAGTGATCACTCGATCACTTCAAAAATGCCAAGAGTGAAATTGCGTTAGAGCGCAGGTGCAACTCTCAGTTTTTTGTGGGCATGTCTGTCTGTCAGCAGTGCGTGACAATATGCTTGTTGATTTCTACATGACTTGTGTTTCTTGTTGGAGAAATACAATACAGCTCAGACAAAGACGAACAAGCTAAAATGCAAAATCAGAGATTTGCATCGGAGGCGTTCGGAGAGGCGTCAGAGGCGTACAACGCGTTTTCTTGACATACTATGCTGTCGTCAGGATTCTACCTTAGTAATCCAGTCCAATGGTTTGGTGTGAAATTGGTTCTGCATTGAAGGCGTGCGGAACGACGGCTGTGGCGTACAACTGCGTCACACCTAGATTTTAGTTTCTTGGTGTACTATGTTGTTGACAGAACTCTTTCCAGGTGATCCGGTTCCTGTAGATTTGAGATACATGGCACACAGGAAAATTTGATAAAACTCACACGTTGGCGGGAAGCACACTCGTGTGCGCAGTGACATGTGATTAGAGTTGTGCCACGGCAGCCGTGTGGCACAACTCCTCAGGAGAGAGAATTTTGAGTTAGGTCCCGAGCTATGGCGCACTGCTCGGAGGCAGAAAGGCTCTTCGCTGTGGCTCGCGTGGAGCAGATTTCTGTGCTCTCTGGTTGGGATTATCACTGTGTGTACGATATCCTGCTGGAGTTCATTCGTCACGACTTGTTGGACATGATTTCTTTGATGCTTCCTCGTGAGGGCGCTCTGCTGTTTGCCATCAGGGACCTTTTGACATCACTTAAGTGCGACGCCGGCGAGTGCATTCTGTCCGGCCAGTTCTTGGATCAGCATCGGAGCACTCAGGAGCTTTTGGCGGCTAACGTCACTTTCGTTCGACGGCTGCTTGTCAATTCCAGGGTTTTGGCTTCCTTTGCTTTGGCTTCCGGGGCTGGACGCCACGGCTTGATTTGGCTTCAGCAGCAGTACCAGCTGGTGGACAAGGACTGGGCTTTCAGGGCCTGTCGCTTCAGCAGCGACTTCAGGTTGGTTGTGCTTTTCCTCTGCTCGCACGATCTAGGCTCGAGCATCGTTTTTCCCATGGCGGCACAGCTGTGGGCAGCCCCTAGGGAGAAGGGGTTGCAAGATCTTGCGCCTTTGCTTTTAGGCGCAGGGGTTACTTCACTGGATGCCGTTCGCGAGCAACGCGAAGCTTTGATTAAGGCCGGGGTGTCACCGCAGCAGCTTCAGCTTCTACAGGGCGATGAGAGCTCTTCATCGGTCGTACCGCAGCCCGAGCGACGCAGCGACTTGCCCGTTGTGCATCAGAGGAAGCGAGCTAGTTTCCAGGCCTCTGTGGAGGCGGCTGCCCCGGCCAAGCGAGCTGCTACCTTGCGACGATTGCATGAGGATTTTACCGCACCCTCCACTGTGGGCCCACTTAACAGCCGAATCCGTACATGGTGTGAGTGGAGCGCTGCGTGGGAGGTGGCGCCTTTTTTGCTCACATTTCAGACGATTAGCTGTTGTGCAGCGAGTATGAAAGCTGGAGCATACAGAAGTTGCTCGCAATACTTCAGCGCAGCTGTGAAACACCAGGAAAGGACGCTTCGAGTGCCCGTAGACCCCAGCTTGAAAGCTCTCATTCGTGACTGCAAAAGGAGTATCCTCCGGGGGCTCGGACCCGACCAGTTGAAAGATTCCTTCGAGGTCCCGAAGCTTCGGCCTTTGATACCGTCGTCCAGCTGGGGCACGGCTCCCTGGGATCCGAGCGATGTGCAGTCTTGGCTTGATGCAATGATCATAAGCCTTTGGTTTATGTTCAGAGAAGTGGAGCTAGCTGCATTGCGCAGGGGCCACCTTTACCTGGAGGATGGTCAGGTTGTCGTTTTGATTGCCAGCGAGAAGAAGGACACTCAGGGTTCACTTACGACAAGGACCCTAACATGTTCGTGCCGCGTCAGGCGACATGAGTTTTGTCCCTTCCATGCAGCCAAACGTCACTTGCAACGACTGCATCAATTCGAGGTCCTCAGTGGCAAGGCAGCACGCTTCGCCTTCCCGGATTGTGACGGTAACGAGCTGTCGAAGGCAGCTGTGGTTCGTGGCTTCAGGTTGGTTCTGCAGGAGGCCGGCATCGCGCTGACACGGCCCGATGAAAGCGGGCGGCCTTTGCAAAGGTTCCATGGACACGTTTGTCGTGTCTCCGGAGCCCAGTGGCTGATCTCTTTGAATTTAGCCGTGCATCTAGTGCAGATACTCGGTCGTTGGAGCTCGGCGGCCATTTGGAAGTACATCCAGAACACCCCTCTGCTACAGCTCCCGGCCGCTACAGAGCAGGCTTTGCATGCAGGGGATTTCACGGTTGGTTCTGAGGATGCGGCGGCAGCTGGGCTCATTCTCGCACCGGCCATAGAGCGGGCACAGTCTAGCCACAGCGGCCCGTCCATGCAGGACCTGCAATCCATTCGTGACGAGATGGAAGCTCTCAGGCAGGCGGCTCGCCCCAGGGGCGAGACTCTGATTCAGTCGGTGCGGTCTCGATTGATTCATCGCATCAAAGTCGATGAGGACAGCAACCCTCCCAAGAAGTGGAGGTCTGTTTGTGGTTGGCCGTATGGCGTCAGCAACTTCACGCGGTTGCCAGCTTCGGAAGCACCTGAGGATCAGCGCTGCAGGCGGTGCTGGGAGAGACGAGGTGATTCCTCGTCGTCCAGTTCTTCATCATCAGCATCAGGCAGCAGCAATAGGTCCGCAGATGCGGAGAGCAGCTCGGACGTGGGCGAGTATGATTGAGCTCGGCCGCCGGCTTGAGTTGTTGAGGGGTTTTGTCTTTCGTTTCGGAGTTTGCTCACTGGCTCGTTTTCGGCTGAAAAGAAGGGTCTCAGCGCTTTCAGTGACCCACTCGTGCCACTTAGTCCCACGCCACCCCCACCCAAAAAAAATGGGCCCAGGTCCTCTTGT